TCTAAAAGTTTCAAAATAGAAACTTAAAATTTCTATATAAACATGAAGAATAAAATCCATTATTTGTAAGTGTTAGATTGATCCCCAAGCCAACAAGGATTTTGGCTTTGTAAGGGGCAACGAAGAATGTCTATCCTACGTATTTTTATTTTTGTTTTATAAAGAGACTATTTCCATAATTATATACTTTTCTTCTTCCTCAACTATGCGTCGGAAGTAAATTTTCTCTCTTCACTGTACTGCAACTAAGAAAGTAGTATCGCCTATAATATAAAATGTCCTAGGTGAACCATGAGAGGGCACTACAGAAAAATGAAAACAATAACATCAACCCTAAAATGTGTTTTATGATTTTACGTACGTTGCATTTTGCATTCAGTCCAAGTCCAGCCATTCCCATTGTCCCTGATAATCTCAAATTTCTATATTATTATTAATAACTACTGTTTAGTGGAATATTAAATACAATATCTTCTACATGGTGGAAAAGTTTTTGAGAAACTCCATCCAGAGATACCTTGGCCATGGCCCCATGGAATGCAGATTTGTCTCGAGACTGGATGACAGTGGGTGACCGGCTCAGCCAGCCAGTGGGGACCCTACCGACACTGATCACTGTTCAATCACCGGTGACCGGCGGCGTTTGCGCCTTGACGATGACCACGAAACTGCCACGTTTGCTTCCCCATGTGGGGTGATGTGGCCTCGCTTCGGATTAGTAACTTAAAAATTAATTTGCATACAATTACCTAATTAATTAAGATATAGAAGAGCAGGATATTTTGCACGATGAAGTTCATTTGTACACTTGCACTTTTGCTTATTGGGTGGAATCCATAATGTTCTGACATTGAGGGAAATGAGGGTTTTGTAAAATGAATAATGCAATTGTTTTGTGCCTCAAAGCAAGGGATTTGGTAGAACATGTTTTCATCTTTTAGTCTACAATTTGTTGAGAATGAATCTGACATTAATGGAACGAGAGATTTTGTATGGGTTTGTAAGTAAAATGAGCTACTTTTCATATTATATTAACTGGTTTTATTCTAGAACTTCAATTTTATTCATGATTTCAAAACATGTTGCCCCACATGTGAAGCCTAACACCACACATTTTCCACGTCACCTCATTTGTGTTGTCCACATGTTTTGTTTGAATATTCATCACATGTGAGCGGCATGTTGACAATGAATCTCACATTGACAAAAAGAAAAACCTTATAAGAACTTCTAAATAAGTTGAATTAAACACCATTTAAATTAGTAAATGGGTTTGGTTAGAAATTAGAATAATGGGTTTTCATTTCGAAAAGCCAAAAGATTAGGAATATAAGTGTATAAAAGGATTTGGTAGAGCACAAGTTTTATTGTCCCTATAACATAAGACCAAGATTATATAGATACAACTTCTAATTGCACAAACATAAAGAAGAATGATGAATTTTACCTACACTAGAACAATGTCATTGTAGTGAACTCAACGTTAAACAATAACTTGCTGCGACTCATAAAGGTATCAGTGTAAATATCATATCCTTTCTAAGACAAAATAAGCAAAGTTGCAAGTTATAGTTTTCTACGTAAATCAACCAGAAGAAGACAGAAATTGAACTTGTATATGTTTTTGTCCAAGTCAGTTACTCGCATTTTCTTTCCATAATTGGTAGTTTTTAGCTAACAATATTCTTTGTGAAAACTCGGTGGAGTGCATTAGACGAGAGCCTTTCCTCTCGTACTATGAATTGCTATTTTTATCAAATTATGGTGCTCTTTTTCAGTGAATATTATTAGTGCGAAATTAGACAATGATTAGTGCTTAATAATCATCTGAACCATCATTAGTGATTTAAGAAGCGGTTGGAATTTGAATTATTGATCGACATGTTCTGCTCGATAACTGTTTTGATTTGCTGCGGCAAGCAGCAGCTTCGCAGATGACACGCACCTAACTTCCACCAAAAAGTCTCTAGTGGAACAGGATGTCATAGTTTCTCTCAGCCTTTCCTTCAAGTCTTCAACATGACACACACTGATACACAAGTTGGGTTCTGCACAAGACGTTTTGTCTTTCTTAAAAACAAAGTACGTCAAGAAAACTCTATTTCTTCTATGTTTTTGGTCTTTTTCTGTAAGATGTAGAATCTTCTCGTGATACTTCAAATCTGAGATCTGAGATCAAAGTTCGTTTATATGTAATTTCGGCTAGTTTGCTCGAATGGCATCTTGCAGATGTACCCAAGTTTAGATCTTCGTATATTTCAAAGTTAGAATATCGTCTTATCAATAAAATGTAGAAGTGGCATCTCGCCTGCGTTGGAAACAGGAGACCCCAAGTACATAAAACTAAGGTACTAATCAAGATTAAATCCAACTAAAAATAATGAACCAGATTTTTAGGGACCATGCTCACCCCTTGCCGGATTTTATTTTTTTCTTTGAGTTAGGCTTTGGACTCAGATTCATGCATAGATGACGATTTGACACTCGTAATTTCCTTTCCAAATCATAATAAACAATATACAAATTAGTTGCAACATGGAGAGACATTTTAGTGTGCCCAGAACAGAAACACGTACGTCATATTCTATTACATAAATGGAAAAACACTTAAAAATAAAATTTCTCTCTACTTGTATAATAACATATGACGTACCAGTGTTTTTGACATTAAAAAATCTTTCTTCAACATGGATCACCATGTCGACTTGATTTTTTAAGTTTATGAATTTTATGGCACCTAAAGTTCAAAGGGTATTAATTTTATGGCACCTAAATTTCAAAGGGGCATATATAATATATAATATATTTATGGGAAGTTGAACGTATTAAATTGGTTTTTGCATTCCTAGGCATTGTTCTTCTTTTGCGACCTTCTGGGGCTTCATCTATATCTTTATTTGAAAAGATAATTTTTTAAAAGTTGAACATTTTATGGATTATCTGTTACTTTATGTTTTAACATAATATTTTGTATTGTTGGCACGTAAATTGACGTTAAGGGGCGAGGTGATAAAAAATCTATAAAGAATTTCACTTTTAAAATAATCTTCTTAGCATTTCTCTTTCAGGAATTATTGTCCAATTTGAATACGATATTTAAAATGAAAATAATATGTTGATAACAAATCCTTCTAGAAATATTAAGATCCCACGACAGAGTAAACGGTCGAGGAAATATGACTAAAACCAAGATTACTACATTAATCCAGGTTCAGTTACCACTATATTAATTAATCTTATAATTTGTGGCCACCTTGATCGAGATTGATCTGAGTTTTCCTGCGAGGTTATGAGTGATTATGACCCTTTGAGGAGTTGAGTGGACAATTTGCTGTGTGATTAATGCCAATGCCGATAAGTTTGACTCTTAGCATGAAACGTGCAATCCGAAGGAGACATTCAAAATGGAGATTTTTCGTAGATTCTCTGTCATCTAATGTTATTGGTACAATATTTTATAATATTGACATAAAAATTGATGTTGAACAGTGAAATGATAGATAGTCTATGAACAGTCTCATCACCTTAGCATTTCTTTTTTTTTTTTTTTTTTTCCTAACTAAAATTACTCAAATTTACAGGAGATGAATTCAAGCTAATTAGCTCAACAGATATTTTAGCAAGGCAATGTACCTATCTCGATGTAATTAAGGTGACGGCCCTATTACATTTGAAACAGTGATTTGAACAATCGGCTTGTTTACCACATTAAGAGATGACAAAACTATTGTTCCAATAAATCAAAAACCGTTTTACATAAATAGTGGGATAACTCTATCCCAATCTATCTAAACGATAGGTCTCAATTTGAGAGGACGAATTAGGTACAAACTATAAAGTAATTGACGTACTCTCTTAACCAACTGACCTAATCTAATTAGCGTGGCTACAATTTACTTCAAGAAGGTTTTATTATCTGTGCAAACTCAAATATACACAATGGAATGGAAGTTATCAATCCACTGCTTTTATGGATACAGCCCAACAAACCTAAATAGGTTTCCAAGCATGTAAAACTGGTTGGTCTATGATGACCCAAATTTAAAGATTTTGGATTTTGGGTTGGGCTCTTGTCGAGTCTAACAGGTTATTTGTTATTACCGTATTCGAGAGTTGATGTTTTGAACTTTTCAACCTGTTCGGATTAATGCTACTTAGGTTGTGTCAAAAGTACATTCAATTCTCTCTTTTCGATTGATGTAAACACATTGAAGACCATGACAAGGATCAAGAGAAAAAAGGGTACCAAAAAATTTAGACAAATTCTCAATTTATGTGTGTTATTCTTGTTTAGGGGTCATAGTAATCTTCATTGCATCGTTCAAATTTTAAATGATGTCCTTTTGATAGTGGTGGACGCGGATCAGTTTGATTTGGGTTGACATAAAAAAACAAAAAACTAAAAAACAAATCAACTGGTATTCACCAGTTCAGTTTGGTTCGATTTTGACAAATGCCAACATCGAAACCAAATTGAACCAAGCCATTGTTAATTGGTTTAATTCAGTTTTGTTTGGTCGCTCTGAGCTTGTTCGACACATAAATAAAGAGTTTTAATCTTCTATAACATTCACACATCTCATGCATTCTAATTCAATTGAAAGCTTGAATTTTTTGGAACATAAAAAGTTAATTAAGTCGAATAGAACTCAATTTCAATTAAGTAAAATTTCATGCTAGCAAACAATTTATTAATTACAATCTCATATAAGCATAAGATACATATAATCTCCTACTTGTTGATAGTCATTACACCCTGTATGCAAGGCGAGGACCTCGCAAGAGATCACATATCCTAGTATTGTCTCCCCCAATCTCGCTTAACTGCGGAGTTAAGAGCCCGAACTTGCTTAAGAGCTGAGTTCAAACGGGATCCAATGCATTCGAGTTAGTATGAATTGTAAATTCCATTTTAATTTATATATTTGTTTGATGGGCTTCGGGTGCCCCCTTTGTTTTAATTTGTGAATTTAATTTTGTTACAGCCCAAGCCCATTACAAATTATTAAGCCCAGGCCCAATTTATCTAAAATATAAACAACGAATTCGGAGATACAAATCATTGTTCTAAAAGATCCACATTATCCATACAAACAATTAAAGAAAGCAACGTGTGTTGGCTTTTCTTTCTTTTCTTTGTTTTTTTTTTAAATCAAGAGGACATGTTATGGAACTCATTTCATTTTAGTCCATTTTTCTTGGGATTCAAGGCATTACACAAACTCAAACACGAGAAAGATAGAAGACGCCTCCTACGGCACGTACCACAAGCTCTTTTAGCCCATGGCGTATTTCTGGGTCCAGCTCCTCGCTGTCGTCTCGTATTTATTCCTGTCCGTCTTGTACATGTGAGCAATCTCCGGCACCAACGGATCATCGGGGTTTGGGTCCGTCAACAAAGAACAGATGGAAAGCAACACCTGATGACAGAAAGTAGCAACGGTAAGTTATAATGTAAACAAGACCGCAAGGATGATTTTTCATATTTTCTATGTTGGAGCTTTTCACTTTTCAGGGCTACGCGCCTACGAGACAATACCTTGGAAATAGTTAGCGCAGGACTCCACTGCTCCTTCAAGATGTCAAGGCAAATGCTTCCGTTGCTGTTTATGTTAGGGTGGAATACTTTCGTTCTAAATGCCACCTACAGAACCACCAAGGTATAAGCGACAGAGACCAAAAAAGAGAACCGGAACTCCATGATCAGAAAGACTACACAAATTATTGAACGATGAAAACGAAGAATGCAATGGTAATTCTGCTATACGATGGAAAAACATCCACAGCAGACGTCTTTTTGTTTTCTACAGAAGTATATATACATCCCTTCATATTCTCCTCTTCTGGAAAAGTTCGAGACATGCAGTAGTTTTTCTCAGTGCAATTACTGAAAACGTGAGGGCTAATGGATGCACCAAGTAGAAGTGCTGGTGGTGGTTGAAAAGGTAGTGGTAGACGAAGAAAACTTACTTTGTGTAACTACAAAAACCAGTTCAACATATGGGTATTCAAGGTAGACGTTGTGCCAAGGGTGGTAGAAAGGAGAAGACTGACAAAATCGGTAAGTTACATTAACAGGATTAACTATAGTTCAAACCCCCGCTAAAATCCATCACATTATTGGTCAAAATTTTCAATTTTTCTGGGAATAATGGAGAGAAAACGAATCACGTCGACCGCTGAAGTTCAATGATAAAAACACACTTCATTGTTAGAATTGGATAGCTAGTAGTACCTTTGGTGGCTTAAAGGGATAATCTGGAGGAAAATGAATACTAACTAGGAAAACACCCCCAGCATATGGACTGTCTGGGGGACCCATTATTGTTGCCTGCCAGTGGAACATGTCTTCGGCAACAGGACCTGCAATATCCCCAAAGAAAACAAGGTAAGAAATCAATGAAATAATAAAATACAGAAGGAAATGGAGCAGGATTTGTACAGATTGCTTAAACAACGTCTTAGTTTGAATAACACAAGAAGATCTTATAGGGACATTATCTGTCCTGAAAAAAACTGTTTGCCTATGTAAAAATACATGTGTATCTTCTGATGCAATCATGCATAATCATAAAGCGAAAAAAGAAGCATACGACAAGTGAGATTATATATTTTAGTCACTTCCATATGCAGTGCAGGAAGAGTAATAACCATTTTGACTGTTTTTGCATGTAGAGCAAACTTCAAATATAAACGAGCTAGTCGTATGTAAAGCCTCTGACCAGACTGGATAATCCAGCTGCAGACGACGTCATAATCTGAACATCTGCCCAGGTAGCCAAGCTGGATCAATCGAATCCATAACAATCTGGAAAGGGTGAAAATTTCCAGAAATGATGCGTATAAAATCACTTGAACCCAGTATCACATCTAGCTAGCTAAGCAAGTTCTTCGCTAGATCACCCAAGAATGGTACGCCAAACCACGGTGCTTGAATGGTACAAGAGCAATCATGAGAAGCGAGACCATTAGTCAAATGCAAAAGTTACAAAGCTCAAGAACACATCAATATGTGTTTTACATACGCAGAACAAAGCATTAAGCATGGATATTCGTTACACAGTCAATTACAATTCCAGTACCACCAAGTATTCAGATGAGGACGGTGTTTGTGCCAATTTTTATGCCACGACACAAACACACGCCTATAATTAAACCCGTTAACCCCACACGAGAACAAATCACTACAGGAGGGCAGTTAAATGATGAAAAGCACCCAGTGCTATGACAAACTTTATTCTTTACTTGTGTAAAAATATACCCACAATTTTAATCTAAGCACGGGCGGCGCATCACCAACACGAATTATGACGTGCGTGCTTACACTAATTCTGATCCAGAAAACTAATTCACATAAGTTTCGCTTTCCCATACAAATTTACAGCGCGTATAAATTACAGAATTCAATTTCGCGGATTATTCATTGCAAAGTGACAACCAAACATCTACAAAGCACCAAATGATCATAATCGACGGTATAATTTGACGAAAGTGATTAACTAAAAGATGAAATTTCAAGCTAGCATCTACACAGATTCAAAATTCACAACGGGAAGATAGGATTACCGGCGCTGCAGGACGTAGGAGGATCCTTCTGCAGATCTTTGAGTTCCTTCAAGATCCGCTTGGACGCCATCTGCGAAAACCTAGATAAATCAACACCAACAGATCAAAATCCATAACCAAAAGCCACGCAACACAACCTAAAAATGCAGCTCAATTCTCTCTCTCACAGAAGAAGAAGAAGAAGAGATCGTAATTCGTACCTGATTGGAAGAGTTAAAGGGAGAGAAAACGAAGACGGAGACGAGGGAGAATCGAATTCGATTGAAGCGGAAACGGAAACGGAAGAGGTAGGGAAATGCGATTGATTTTTTGACGATGGGGGAAACGACTTTTTATAAAAGTGCTTCTGCGGTCCGCCCTCCTTATGGAATCGACCTGTTGTTGACTTGCCGTTGATGGGCTTAAATTCTATTCCGTCTGTCTGGGTCCCACCTGGCGTCCTCTTTACGATTATCGCTCGCTCCTTCCTTTTCCTTTTCTTTTGGATTTTTGTTTTTATATTTTTGGCGCCGAAAGTCACCAACGAATAAAGGATTTTCGATAAGACGACGTCGTTTCCTGCTCCAGGTAAAAAGTCAATAGGCGCGTTAGTTGAACGGCTGGAAACGACTGGGTCTAATTATTGGCCCATTGGTTGATACGGACGGAGATCGATGATTGGATCAGTGGGTCAAATATTTGACATTATATTCGAAGTAAATTATATAGGCAATTGCAAATTCGTTGATAAATTAATATACAGTTAATCACAATAAAAATAAACGTTAATCAATAATGTGCTTGTCTCGTTACACTCACAACAACGTAGGTTTTTTCCTATCTTGATTGAAGTTCTATCTTTTTCTGTAAGAAAAATTAAAAAAAAAAAAAAATTGGTGGATTTCATCTACTTGATGACAGTTGGTCCTACACGTTACTGCGATCCACCAGCGCGCGAGAATGGACGGCGATTGCGAGGGAAACCACTTTGCCATCTTGCTCTTATCAGATAGACGGTGGATTTACGCGTGGGTCCCCCACCGCCTCAGCTGGTCGCACCGTCGCAGAAGATCTCACTCTTACCAAGGGACCCAATGATCGACGTGGCCAACGTGCGCCGTTGGCGTAGATTGGGTGATTACTTAGAGATTGGAGAATCCAACTCACCACCCGCGCCCCACCTGCCGCCCATGGTGCGCAGCGCACATCCGGAGCAAGTTAGCCTCCACCACTACACGCGCACGCCACCTCGCTCCGCTTCTCTCACCGTCTGATTCTCTATCGACGCCGGAAAATGGAGCGGTTTAAGGTTCCGAGGCGGGTCCAAGTGGCCGAATCCAAACCCGAGTTTCCCAAGTACGACGTGGCGGATGAAGAAGAAGAGGACCCCTCGGACGCCCTGGACGGCCAAAACGACGACGGAGAAGGTAGTGGCGGAATGCGGATAAGGCCGTCCAGTGGCAACGTGACCGAAGATCAGGAGCCTTTCATGGGAGTCAAGGTCCGCAGAAAAGCTTCGTTTCGCAGAGAATACAGAGGCGACTACATCGACGTCCGCTCCAACCCGTACCTGATGAAAGTCTTGCAGAAACAAGGTCTTCAATTTTTTCATCAAATTTTCGATTTTTGTATTCGATTTTGGTAAATCAAACTTCAATTGTTTTGAATTCGTTCTCGTTTGTTTTTTTGGTGTTGAATGGGATGAAGAATTGGGATATCCAATTCCTGTGTTTGGTTTAGGGTTTAGAAATTGCAATCATTTGTTTGAATTCCATTTGGCATTGGATTTTGCAGGTGACAAGGAGGTTCTGTTCGCCGATAAGGTCTTGAAGTTTACTGCTTCCGGGAAGATGAAACGCCGCATTTTGATGATCACTGACTTCGCCATCTACATTGTTGACCCGGATGCCGATGCGCTTAAACGGAGGATAGCTCTTGCAGCTGTGGAGAAGATGTGCTTGAGCGAATTGAGCGATAATTTTTTCGCGATTATCATTCCTACGGAGTATGATGTGCTGATGGCCAGTACTCGCAAGACGGAAATTGTTACTGTCTTAGTTGAAGCTACTAAGAGTGCTTCTGACTACGAACTTGATGTTTGTTTCGCTAACAGGTAAATGCAAATTTATGCTTGTTATTATGATTTTTTATAGCCTTTCGTGTTAGACAGATGGTTAGGAAGCTCGAGATTGATTGCATTGTGGATTGGTTTATCTTTCAGCCATGTTCATTTGTAGCTTATGCATTTGGGTATCTTAGACAAGTTTCCACAGCTACAATGTTTTCGTTTTTATATTTGTATCGGACTATTCTTCGTGTCTGTCACACCTACAGCCAATCGTAGAGAGTCAATAGATTCATTTCTGAGTGCAGCGTGTAACCCCGTTAGATGCTATGGGATGGGAATATCAGCTTACCACTCGTTAGATGCTATGGGACGGGAATATCAGCTTTACTTTATTAGAGGGCGACATGTAGGATATTGCAAATGCGGCATCTATGTTAGCTTGCTTTATTCTGGAAAAGAAAAAAGAAAGAGAAAAGGAAAGATGTTGCTTGTTGGATGGCTGCCTGTTCTTAGAATCTTCATGATATAAGAGTTTAAGGATTGAAAGCATCGTTTTTAGGTTCAGTTTTACTTTTTCGGTGGAGGACCTAATACTCGGCATTACTTTAGTTTTGTTATATGCCAACTACATTAGCATTGTAGTGTATATGTTGTAAAGGAATGTGTGTTATATACAATTTTGCAGTTTTGAGTATAATGCAACTGCGGAATTTGTGAAGGAGGTTCAGTTTGAGGAAGTTGAAGGTCTGGTACCTTTCTTGTTTACGATTTTGCCGCTTCCAATTTTCCCATCTATTCCCTATTAGCTCCGGTAAATGATTACACCGGATTATGTGACCCTAAATCGTATCTGTTTATATGAATTTCAGGGGGTGTTAGAACAAAAATTTTGAACAAGTGATTGCAGATTAGATTTGCCGTGTTTCTTAGACTCTGCAAGATGTCCGCCCTGTCCATCGGAACATGAATGATTGTTTAGCTATTGCATGGCTAGGTTCTGCTCAGCCTCAGCATAGCCCGACCCCGTAAGGACAGCATTGTCTTTTGATCTCATCTCATTTCAGTGTGATTCTTATACCAAAGAAAGATACGTGTAATTTGTTTCAGACTTAAAACCAGTTTTATATGGATGTATGAAATCATCGAATTGACATTGTATGTAGATTCCGAAAATCCATCTAAAACTGTTTGCAATTGCAGACATTTGCCTTTAGTGCAGGTCTCCTGTTCCGTTCTCGTTAATCAGCAATTCAGGTTGAACCAGATTTTGCTCCGGCTATGGGGATCGGTGAATTTGAAGACCGAGATGTGTTGAGTCGGAAAATTGACTGACAAAACAGGTTATATAATTGAATTCGTCGACACCAAAACTCTAACCGGTATGAAACCACAACCTATAGTTCTTCACACGGAGGCAGAGTGATTATTAATGATCAATGAAGCATATGATTCACATAGAACTACAACCCAAATCCGAATGAATTTCAATTGAAAGATATAAAATTATATCTTAACTACGAACTGCGAAAGTATTTCACTGGGTTACAGAGGAAGGTCCTGTTATCTCCGATGGAGGAGGCGGCGCATTTAAGATTGGAGTCGATATTCCCGATGATGGTCGAGTTCCGGTGTTTACTTGACGAATTTCCTCCACCCTTTTCACCACATCCTGCATCTTTGGTCGTTGCTCCGGCATTCTTGCGACGCAAGACATTCCTATTTGTAACATCTCTACCATTTCCTCCTCTATGTTGGGATACTTTAGAAGCTCTACATCGAACACTTCTGCTGTCCACTCCTCTCTGACCACAGAGTTCACCCACCTCACCAAGTGAACAACTTCTTCCCCGCCTGTTGTGTGTATGGGGCTTTTACCGGTGAGAAGCTCGAGTATTAGGACCCCGAAGCTGTAGACATCGGATGCAGGGGTAGACTTGCGGGTGTCTGTCACTTCTGGGGCTCGGTATCCTCCTGTACGCACTGCTGGTGGGGGCATTGGACTCATCAGTGGTGGCAAACCAACATCGCACACACAACCGTATCCTTGAGAGTTGAGGAAGATGTTTGAGGCCTTTATGTTTCCATGGACAAGTTTCCCAGCATTCTGTGTGTGGATATGAGCTATGCCTCTTGCCGCGCCAATTGTTATTTTGAGTCGAGTCTCCCAGTCAAGCGGAATCCTGCCCTCTCCTCTTTTAGCTGCAAGATTTAAAGATGCATAAACATTAAGAAATTAGTTGTGTTCTAATTGTTTCCGGTGAATATAACTAAAAACTATCTGATGAAATGAATCGAAAAAGTACAGAGAAGTGCTTATATACCATGTAACATCGAAGAGGCGCTTCCCTGCTCATAGTAATCATACACAACAAGCTTCTCATCTTTCGAATAGTAATACGCCCTTAGTGCGGCTACATTCTCATGCTTGATACTCCCCACAATCTCCATTTGCTGCTCAAATTCCTTCTTTCCCACACTCACTTCCTTCAACCTCTTCACCACAACAGTGGTTGCATTGGTTGCATCTTCCAAAGCAGCCTTATATGTTGTCCCGAACGTTCCCTTGCCAAGAACCTCAGCAGACGCCCTCAACAAATCGTCCAGATCAAATGCAAGATTAGAACCCTCAAAGAAGGAAAGCTTGTTATCCTTATTTTGCTTCTCAGAAACCCCTTTCTTTGAAAAGAGTTCTTTCTTCTCTGGTTTTTCGACTTTCCCATTTTCGCCTTCTTTATTGTGGCAGCAAACGAGCATAAAAAAAGCAATTAGAACGAAACCCAGAACACATCCGCCGATCACAATACCTAGTATTGCAGGCTGACTGATTCTCGTTTTCTTTCTTGGTTGAGAATTAGGTGGTTCAACAGGAAGAGCTGGAGGAAGGGCTGACGCCAAACTGTTGCCTGAAAAGGCCCAACTTGGAAATCTTTGAAGAGATTGAGGAACAATCCCGGAGAGGCTATTGTTAGCCAAATCAAGCTGTTCCAAACTAGGAACATTGAGGTCAGGAATTTCACCCGAAAGCGAATTGTTAGCAAGATTCAGAACTGTGAGGTGAGTTAAATTTGAAATCGAGGAAGGGATATTCCCACTAAATGCATTGTTTGACAGATTCATGACGGTAAGATTCTTCCAAACCGAAAAATCTAGAGGCAAAGGGCCAGAGAAGTTATTGGATTGAAGATAAAGGGAAGACAAGTTTTCGAGTTTGGAAAAATCCGAAGGGAATGGACCTGTCAAGGTATTCAACCTTAGACTTAGAACCAGAAGCGCCGAAAGGCGGCTGAGAGTGTTCGGTGGGAATGGACCAAGCAAGGCAGCTCCAGGCAAATGAAGCTCTATAACTCTGGACTGATCTTTGCTACAGATCACGCCGTTCCAGGTTTCGCAAACAGAAGAATTCTCATTCCATTTGATAGAGCGCGAGTGAGAAATATTGTTAATGAAATCCAACAAAGCTTGCTTATCTTCAACTGGGTCCGCAGTGACATGCAAGAAAATTGCCCCAATGAACAAAACGACCAAAAGCTCTAATCTTTTCCCCATCATCTCAAGCAATCCAAACACAAACTGCTTCTGCAGTCTTGGTCACAACTACACCTTGAATTTGGACTAAAAAAATAAAATCACAATAACAGAATCAGAAACTCAATAGAAACATTAGTAAATGTATTTTGCTATGATCATAAAACGTAGAGCGAAAATTGTAAAGTGCATCAATGTATGACAATTTAAATCCCAAATCCTTAAATTTGGAGCTCCAGTCAAAAAAAGCAGTTCTAGACTTCTAGTAAGTCTGAAACTTTGAATTAGGAGGAGGTGAAAAGCACATATATTCCTAATTTCCACCTACTTTGTTAGGCCGCCAAGAAAATCCCACTAATTACTTTATTAATTCCCATCACTTTCACATAAAATCAGCACAAAAAAAACTTACTTTTTGCTTCAGATCACACCATAAACATGGCAAAAACAAACCCAACTCTTGAAATCTCCCCTTCTTGCTCCCTGCAGCAAAACCCAACTTTCAGAACTGGGTCGTTTGGGAGCACAAGACGAATTGCTGGGGTTTCAGAGACAGTTCCATTGGGATAAATCCGCAAACAAGTGGGGTGCGATGATGGTGGTGGTGGCGAAGTTATGATGGTGATGGAGATAGATGATGCGCTGGATTTTGCTTGGGAGAGCAGCATGGCCACATGCAGAGGAAAGTTAGGAAGCCATGAGTAAAATAATCATGATTGTTTATTGGTGGAGAAGAAAAGGAAGAGCCAATGGGGAAAGATTACTGCTTTATTTTATAGCGGGCGAAGAGGAGGATTCATGTGGAAATATGGATTTTGGAGGAGACCGAGAGACGAAGACGATAAGGGAAGCCGAAGACGAAGCTAAATGTTATTAGTTAATTATTAGTTAATTAGTGTTTGGTTAATTTTGCCTTACGCTGGTGGTGCAGTTGGTGTGCTCGAGAATTTGTTATTTATTTTTAGGCATATTTTATGGAGAAAATATTTGCACGTCAACTTCATATTGCGTCGTATTGTTTTGTTTATTCATTTGTGGTTGACGTATTTTAATTGTACATGTATTAGAATAAGAATTTTGTTCGTCATTGACCGTCATTTAAATATTATGTGGGTAAAAGTTAGTATATCATTAACAATTTTTTAATAAATTGCGACCATAAAAAAATGTTTATTTTTGTGACACAAATAACGATTCTATCTAATTTAAACATGCAAACGAACGGTCATCGGTGATTCAGTGATTGAAGATGAATTTTAAGCTCGTATTTCTCACGGCACGTCTTAAATTTGATTCTTGGGCTATAAATCACATGATGGTAAGCAGTTAGCCTTCCTCTATAAAGATTGGAAGCATGGATGAATAGATATCAAATAAAGGATTTGGTTTTTCTTTTTAGCAGGAATATGATAAGAGAATCCCTTTAACTTAAACCTACGAGTCCTATTCTGCCACTTCAGCACCTTGTGATTTTGAGAAGGGGCTGAAATACTTTTGTAAGTCTTTTCGACCTTTGAAAGTGTAAACTTACGTTGTGAAAACATCAGCTGATTTTCTTTTTACAGTGTGCCTATATTATAAAACGTTATACTAAAAATATAAAGTGATAAAAAGTCCGAAAAGAATCCTGACTTTTTGAGAGAATTCCATCAATATTTCTCTACTATTTTTTTTTTCTTCTAGCCATGATGAAACGAACAACTAAGTTCTTGTAGTTTTCTATCTTATCGTTTTGTTCAAACTTCTAATTGCGTACCCAAAAGAAATTTGTATCTTTCCTATTTTTTAAATTTCAAAGTTTGGGGAATATTTGTTGTCACTTTTCGTGCGAGGTAATGATGTGTAGATGGACAACAACTCAAGTAATCGAATTTGCTAAATAGATAGTCAAAATGCTGCTAAATCCTAATTCCAATTATCAATCTGTGCGTGCACATCACCATTTTCAAGCCACAAAAAAACAATTTGTTCCATTGGTTTCTTTATTTTTATTTTTATATGTGATGGATATTAAACACTGGAATGTGAGAATGTTAGGATAAAGTTTCATGTTGGTGAGGAACTAAATTATACAAAGACTTATAAGTGGTTGCCCGACTCCTTATATTGCCAACTGGATTTATAGTGGAACCTCAACTTATTCGTAATATCAGAACATATTGTTTCACGTATGAAGCCCAACATCAACACACACTCCACGTCACCCTGTTTGTGTTGTTTATTTTTTTAGCTTGAAAATTTCTCATACATGACTGGGCATTTGAGAATGAATCTCACGTTGATGGGATGAGAGACCTTATATAGGATTATAAGAGGTTAAGCCACTCTTCATAATGACGATTGGTTCTTTATCTAACTATTTATTTTTAAGGTTGCATTTTGTAAATTATACTTGTAAAATATTAGTCAATCGAAAATAGTTGAAGCATCTAATTGAGTTAAAAAAAATGACGAACACTACTTTGCCCTGATTGTGAGGACACTGGCAGGAGTTTTGTGGCAACTGATAAAATTTTTACCACCTACAAAAGTAGGGATAAAAGCACTTAAAAATATTTGCAAGAGAACAAAATAGTTGTAGTATAAACGGCTAAAGCAATGTCGTTTTTAGCAGGGATTGAATGAATAATTTATGTAAATACCAAATCTTAATTAGTTATTTGAAAACAAAGATTGAAAAAAGTTGATTTTGAATTAAAAATAATAAAAACGAATTTAATTAAAATGATTAAAGAAATTAGCAAAGTAAAGAAAACAAAAGAAAAGAGTTTTGAAAACCAAATTGTAAAAACCTAGGGTTCTGTCGTCCCTTTAACAATCCTATGTAGATTTACCAATTACTTATGAATTACCCATGCAACTTTGAAGGTTAGGTTTTCCTTATGCATATTCTACTTGTGGCATTCAAGTTATAACGTAAATCAAACATGCAATCCGTATGTGGCATTCAGATCAAATATAAACATGCATGACTCATTACGCTTTGTCAAAACACTTTGAAAAACCATGCAACTCCTAAGACGTGACATTCGTCCTAGGTGAAATTACAACTATCAATCCCAAGAAGCAATACTCAATTCCTCGGTGGCATTCCGACCGAATTGCATCCGATTACCTATCTAAACATCCTCATGGTAGCTAAACATTAAGATACTGAGATAGTTTAAAGTACGGTGATTAATAATTCAAAGTATGCATGTATAATCACAAGCAATTAAATAAAAACTACATATTCATGCTAAGGCTCAAGGCATCGCCCTAGCAAACAAAAATTAGTTACGAACAATCATAAAACAAAATACTATTAAAAACACGGATAGAAAACACCTTGAAAATATAAAGCGTCAAAGCTTAGATAAATTCTCTACGTACGTTCCCCCTTCTTCTAATGGCTAAAAAGTCGTATTTATACTACTAGAAAATAAAACCCTACCTTGAAAAGGTTTTAGAATAAAAATAAGAAACATAATTAAATGATAAAACAAAAAACAAAAGGTTTCCTATTTGAACTAGAATTCAGAGTTCTCAGAAAATCACACTTTTGACCAATCAAATCAACTCTGATTAGGTCCCAAAAGGTCTCTTTTGAAAGCTGAAGACGTCACCTACAAATCCTCAGAGAAATCTTTCTCAAAATATGCCATATTGACCTCCAAAATACTCAAAACGTCCATAAACGTTAATTTGGGAAAGCTGCGTGCTGGGCCTTAATTTCATTGCCACGGTGAAACGGCTTGGTAGAAAAATCTGGAATTTTGCTACAATCATTTTGAAAGACTCACGAACATCCTCCAATTAGAATCACTCCAAAATTCATCTGTTTGGATATTTTTGCTCCAAAGGAAGTCGAATGTCCTACATTGGAAAGATATAACAAAGTATCAAAATTCTACCAAAATAACCAATAAATTAATACTAAGATTAGGGTAAAATATATGATATAATATGGACTCATCAGCAACAAAAGCTAGTAATTTCATAGACATCTTCTCCCCCGTCAGACGAAGGCAATGACGAATCGTTCGGCTTTGGTTTGGGCGAGATCAATGAGATTTCAAAATATTATCTTTGAATCTGATTCACTTCAGATTATAGAAGCACTGAAGGACACCTCGACTAAACTTTCCCCAGTTGGTCAGATTATTAAGGACATCAAGGCATTGTTTTCTACGATCAATGAGGCTTCTTTTTCCCATTCTTGCGCACCAAACCATTGAGGTTGCTCACCAACTAGCTAGATACGGTCTTACAGTTGTTCATGAATGTAGTTGGATGGATTCGCCACCGAATTTGATCCTTGACATCCTCATTGAGGATACTCCCCATCCATGATTGGCTTCGATAATGATCTATGTTTATGAATGAGAATCATCTATCGTTTTCATTAAAAAATAACGCTGAAATTTCTTCATGAGAATCAAATGAGTAAATGAGTTCGGATTGAATTGATAGTTCCAACTTCCAAGCAAGATCTAGGAATGAAGACCATTTGGATCGTAAAAGTTCGATGTATAACTAGTCCTTACTTTTACAAAAATTTGAGAATCCTTTTAAATAAAGAGTACGTGAACCACTCAATTTGGCTGATTAAGTAGTGTGTCTCCATTTTAAAAGTTTTATAGTATCTGATGAGTGAGTTATTAGTGTTCGTACTTAATACGTATTAATGTGCACCAGAAAATGGCATTACTTGTAGGTTATTTCTCTAACAAGAGATTTGCAAATGACAATGAAAGGGCAATGGTCCAAATGGATTAGGTACTTCCTTATGCGTGTGTGTGATTATTCATAAATTCGTAGGATTTTGAAGTTGGTATTGTTAGTTACATTTTCAATTGTTATTCATAGATGGAGCAATCAGCTTTTTATTGTTAAATTCAATGCCTAGGTCATCAATAATTTAAAGTCTTATTTTTAGCTATGACATCGGTACTCTTCATCAAATTTCATTTTAGTCTCTACATTTTATATTGATTCACTTTACCACATGTACTCTTACTTCATGTCACATTTTATCCCTTACATTTTATATTGTCTCACTTTAACACCTGTACTCTTTCTCATTGTCCCATTTTATCCTATTCCATCAAATAAGTTAAAACAGTCATTAATTGTGCTAACGTGGCATAGACTATTTAGTATTTTCAACTATGTTAGTAAGACCCATGAGGGTAGGATTTGGGTAAACTCAAATTAGGGTTTGATTTCTCCATATTAAGGAAAATAAAGAAGAGAAGAGCGATAGAGGTAGAGATTCTTAGGAAGAATATTTGAAAGAGGATTTGGAAACATTCATATTGATTCGCCAATCTTGAAATTCAACTTTCTTTTTTTTTATATTTTTCTTTTCATCGGGAGAAATTAAACTAGTTTGAATTTAACCCAAGTACATGAATTTCACTAACATGCCACACAACTAACGTAGTTAAAATGACTAAATTGTTCTTGCCACTTCAACACAATTACCGACTCTCTTAACTACATGTGTTAATGATTAATTATCAACTATCTTTTTGCATTGGTCACCAAACCTCCGTAAGCCATTGGAAATTTCACGCACCCACCGAAAGTGGCGCGCAAATTGCTGTTGGGTTAGAGCCGTTAGGCCGACGGAGGCATCAATCAAAAGGTGACGGCTGGCTTTGTAGGGGTTGTGACAGTGCTCTACGAGATGTTGCCACGTGCGGAAGGACAACGAACGTGGGCCTTCAGATGGAGAGCTCACGAGTGTACTGGAACCAATCAGAGCCGTTCATCCAAAGGTTACTATCAAATTGGCCACCAACCGTTGTGGCAATGTCCCCCCAAAACTTTCATTTTAAAATGTGTCTATTTATCGTGACTGCTATTTATCTTTTATTTTAAAAAGATTTTTCTTATTCTTATAAGATGGTATTCTAATTTATTTTAATTTAAGGAAAACAATTTGAATTTTGATACAAATAGACAAACACGTTATCTCAACTAACTGATCTAATTTACATTTTTTACTTTAAAATTTTATTGATATTACTTGTTTTTGTTACCATGTCAAACGAGATTATTATTCATCATGTGAATAAGTAATGCATAAGATTCATCCATTTTATATTCCACAAAAAATGGGGAATCCTATATGTTTCGGTGGGGAAAGAAAAAACCTATTTCATCTTCGTACCAAATCTTAAATCTAAAAACTTCATAGTCGGTGACAACCCTTTCCCCATTTTTCTAGCATTCCTCCTTTATCTTCCATGGATTGTTGCATATTTATTTTTCGTCTTAGTATTTTTATTAGTAAGTATCTTCTTAGTGAGGTTATTTATGAGATTTTATTTCATGAGTGTTTTAATTTTGTGTCAGTGTGTTATCGGCTCCTCCTGGATCTACTTTGTTAGACTCGATATTTTTGCTGATGGTGTTGCGCACAAAATTCATGTTGGTATGGACGCTAATTGGTTTGTTGTTAGTTCCTCTTCGGTTTTGACGCTCCTCGTGGTCAATAAGTGTCCTCATGTTCGTTATGTTCAAAATTTTTTGCATAGAAGTTCTCAGATGCTAATTTGCAAAGTACTTGTCATTTTCATCAAGAATGAAATTTCTTAGTCTTTGGAGTGTCATCTCAATTCTCTGAATATGAATGTGGATGATCAAAAGATGAATTCGTTCCTTTGCTTAATCTCGGACATGTCTTGTCCTCAAATCCATCACATCTTAGAATGACACAGCTTGACCGGCGATATATCGTCAAATAAACCCAAAAGGTAACAAATAAAAATTAAAAACAAAAAGTCGAGAAATAAGAGGATAAAGAAGAAAACCCTAAATCGACAGACGAGAACGAAAGCTTTGGAAGCCCATGCTATTCAATTCGACGACATTGACATGACGTCGGAGTGGGTGGAGGAGAGTGATAGTCCGAGCACTACTCGATGGCTTGATCGGTTTGATTCTGCTCTGGATGGGAGTGACTTGAATACAAGACAGTTTAGTGCTGCCATCTGTGGTTCAAACGACCACATGTTTGGTTTATGATTGTTAAGAAAAAACCATCTATTTGTAGCAATCAATGTCGTTTTTTTATGTTGTCATTGCCGTTTGTATATATTCCTTGAAAGGTACTTCCTCCTGTATGTGTTTGTAACTTATGTAGATAGATTATTGAAGTTTGTCCATGTGAATGTTGTTATTTGTATACAATTTAGTGTTTAGAGTTCAGGGTTTCAGGGTTTAGGGTTAACTGATGACCTCTCTTACAAAGGGAGGCCTACCTTTATAATTAGGATTTATCTGTATTAGAAAAGTAATCAGTAATGTGGTCTAAATAGCAGTATTGTTTATCTTGTAAGACGCAGTAGATGAAAGTTTGTAGCACTCAAAGTCCAAGCGCTAATGTCAGAAGTCAGTAGCTAGAAAATAACTTTCCAATGAGGAAGGAGTTAAAAAATACGAGCCTACTCATCCACCTTTTAGTGTACATGGATGATTTGTGCAATTTAGCCTAAAAGATCATAGAAAAGGGAGCAAAACGACCTCCTACTTGGTGCCGTCGGCTCATGGTCCTAGTCACAACGGTTTCACAAGTGAAACGACGCGTCGTTTAATAAACCCCGCGTGGCAAAGCGCGCTCTCACGTCACGCATTCGTCTCGAAGAACTTCACATTTCAGTTTTCTTCCTTAAATCTGCGAAAGAAAAAGTCCGGTGAGATAAATGGACTACGATTACAGAACCCGGTCCGGTCAAATGCCGAACCACCGTCCCGCCACGTCATCAGTGCCGTCTAGCCATCCGATGTACGGACCCCCGTCATCGTCGTCCATGTACCCGCGAGTGGGTCAACAGAGCCACGCGGCTGTTCCGCCCCCGTACGGCGGTAACGCAGGCCGTCCTCTTCCCCACCACCAAACGGCAAACCCCCCTTCGTCTTCCTCCTGTAAGTTTAATCCAACCGATCATCTAATTTTTCCCCAAATCAATTAAAAATATTTTGTTAGGGTTTTTGAACTGATCGATTGTTGTTTTTGGGGAACTTGCAGCGGGATTGGGCATTCGAGTTACTATAAAACCGGAGTATCGGATCACTCCTCCGGTAAGCTTTGAGTTCTAATTACAAGTAATCTGTAAAAGTTTCCGTTTTTGTTTGCTTTGTGTTCATGATTATTGGGTAAATGTCTGAGCTGTGTTTCGAAAGTGAAAGATTGAAGAATTGGGTAAATTTCAATTGGAGAAATGTATATTGAAAATCAAGGTTTGTGTTTTAATTATTTACTTAATTAGACTAAGTTGTGTAAGATATTGTTTGGTTCATACTGTTGGGTTTGCCGGTGTGGCCTTGATTTTGCTCCTTTTTTTAGCCTCCATTGTTATTGCAAGTTGGAGATATACCGCGGAGCAAGTTCCAGTTTGATTTTGATCTGGAGAGGAAAGTCTTGGCTGAATTAGAAAAGGAAACTCCGAATTGGGCGAAGCTTGGGCTGGAAAACCTTCCACCACCGAGGGCTGTAGAACCACCATCTCCTTCGGTATGTGATTGTTGCTTTTGCATTTGTGTGTTCTCTTTTTTTAGCTATTCTAGCTGGTCATTAGTTTCCATTGTGCAAGCCTTGTAAATGAATGCAAATCCAATGCTGAGTTACTTGGAGAAGTAGTTTTTCTGTGTATTGGACCTATCATTAGTATGCAGAATCCGTTGCTACGAAAATGGGTTCAGTTTCTGTATTTGTTTCATTTGAGCATGATGTCTCTTGGCTGGATTTGTTTCTTGAAATTAGGTTGGTGGGTATTTTTGGTGTTGCAGGGTTCTAGCGCAGATCCGGTTGTCAGCAAATATATCGCTTCAGGGCTCAGCCGGGAAGCAGTCCCACTTGCAGTAGCAAATCATGGAGACAATCCTACTAAGGTGCTTTCTTGAGCTCTTTGCTTGCACGTTAAGCTTGAACTTTTATGCCAATGATAAATGTTGCTGGTAGTTACAATCACAATTAGCTGCTTAACTTGTATGAATGTTTCTGTTCTTGTTCTCCAGGTTCGAGAATTTGTCAATGCATTCACCCTTCTCCGAGAGATGGGATTTTCACCAAACGCTGTTGCTGAAGCCCTAATGATGTATGACAACAACACGGACAAGGCACTGGCACATTTTCTCAACAATCCATCATGAGAACGGTCGTTGAACGCTATTCCTGTACTTACTCCAATCTACACTGATTGTACAGAACTGTCATTAGGTTTCACATACGGTGGTCATTGTAATTTGTCTGAATTGTTTGTTACTGACCTTTTCATACTGTTACTTTTATTGGAGACCTTCGGACAAAATTTTTCTGGCAATAAAACAAGTATAAGCACATGTGAGTTGATCTCGAGCCTTTACATTAAGCGCTTGTACATTTACTGGCATTTCGTTATATCTCGACCATTCTAACAATCCAAAGGTACGTCATCTAGCATTGAATACTAGCATTGAATTTAGGGGACTTTAACGAAAAATTCTCGTTACTGCTCATTTTAACGAAAAATCATATTTTTATATTAAAAAGTCAATCCTGATACTATTCACTTTACTCTTCATTTTGTCCTTATCGTTAAAACTCAAAATTTTTAAGTCATTTTCATTAGTTTTTCTTTGAATTTAATGCCAAGATTTGTGAGATATTTGGAAGTTAATTGTGTCACCGTGACATTCCAGTCTAATAAAAAATAATAGCCCGACTGTTAACTGATGACAAAATCTCTACTACAAGGCTACCAAAGAAATGTGTAATTCTGCTGCAAAAATAACACCCCGAAAACCTATACTATTCTCTCCGAATTCGTATAATTGAACCTATACAAGTATCATGACTGTTCGAAATCCCGTTTTCCCGATCTCCAGTGTACAACATGCTGCGAGCCAAATCCATTTCATCTGATGGGCAAGAGGTCCAGAATCAACCGTGACATCGCGAAGGATGCGAAAAATGTCTTTCATACCGTTTCCCTGCATCTGGTTGACATTTTCTCCATGACCACAACGCGAATCAAATCAAACACCAGCACAAATAGCTCCTGTGAGAGCAGAGATATATGTTAGCAAACCACCTCTGGGGAGGTACTCACATGAAATGGAACTGGCCTCGTAATTCTCATGTGATAGTCTGCGTGCGTGAGTGCGTGTGTGAGAATAAGTCAGAGAGGGAGAGAAAGAGACCTCCTGCCCGCGAGGAGCAACAAAACTTGGTATCATGGACATGTTTAACATCAAGACCAATAAACCAAGATCCGACACTGATATCATCGTGGGCATAGGTACGGAGTATATCTCTGCAGAATCAATCCACCATAACTCAGTCATTGCTCTGCATAGTGATTGAGGACTAATGACGGAACCAGTTCAACGGAGAAGAAAACTCACCTATTGATTGAAACAAATTTCGCCAAAGCTTGAGATATGACGAACATCTCAGCCGAAGCATGGCGGAAATATCTGTTGGATGTAGAAACACAGTTTTCAGTATTAAGAGGAAAGTATTTGGTTCATACCGTTTTCCCACTTCACCTGAAGCATGACGTACTATTGATTGCATGATGAAATGAGTTGCGGTGCAACTTACGATTTTTTATCGCCAAACTTCCACCATTCTGGTTCATACCATTTTTGGCTCCTGACAAAGACCAGCAAGCACAAACATGAGAAATTTACAGATCATTGCATTTACGTACCTCTTATCTTGTTAACAGGTGGTATTTCAATGTTTAGACTACACTCACGGCTCAGAGAAAACTTCGCCTGATTTCATGCACCCCATATAAACCCGAGGTTTGTCCAAATGAGTTGCAAGTGTAGCTCCCAAAGCATCTGGGCAGAGATGACCAAAAGCAAAAAGGATAAGTCATGAAGAGCAATCTACGGCGTTAAGAAATGCTAATGACAAAAAATGCGAAATGGAAAATGAGTGCGTCTCATGAACAATGTTACTCACCAATATTTACATAAACATCGTCATTGACTTTGGAGTAAAACTCAGCATTCCATTTTTCAGCAGCATGAGCGAAGAACAATTTACTCTTCTTTGGGAATTCTTCAGGTGACTCTATATGGGTATCCTGACAATAATCGGAGTGAAAATGATCACGTTACAAAAGCTGACATTGCCAGATGCATATGAGTACCAAATTAAAGGATGATCGATAGGATGTACAAGAATAATGAAGTCCTTAGTTTGCCGGTTTTCATTGTCAATGGCTCGGTCCAAACTATCCCCACGATCTGCACTGCAGGACAACATATCATCAGATGATGGGCTCTAACATACTATTGTAGTATGTCTCGCATGGAGCATAACAGAATTAAGGGAATACAGCAAAAAGTCAACCTTCTTCCAATAACAAATCGAGCGATTATTCCCTTCTCATTCTCCATTTTTTTCAAGATACCACCTGCCAAAATTAAAACTTTCAATGTGCTTACTAGAACTAAAACGCTTAGACAGCGTTTCACAACATTCCACACTATCTGTCATTGTTCAACCATTTATATGCAAGACCAAATCATATATGTTACACATTACAGTAAACCAAACTTAGCTGTAAGGAAGAGAAAATAGGCAATGATAGAAAGATCGGTAATGTACCTGTTCCCATCCACGCCTGACGAATTGCATCCCTATTATTTTTGCGGCCAAAGGTTGTAAAAATACCAATCACCACTAGTGGTCTTATCTTGTAATCAGTTCCGTTAGTCTCTGCTGATTGCCCCGAAGTAAAACCTTCTTGTCTAGCTGCAGTCAACTCCATCTCAAGAGCTGATAACTTCTTATGTTGTTCCCTAACAACACAATCAATCACCCACATCAGAACCATCGATTCATCACAAATCTTCAACTACACGAGAGAACAAATGACTAAATCTTACCTGCAGGCTATGATTTTCAACGTATCATCCACTGATACGACAGATCGCCCCTAAAAGATAACGAGTTCTGAGTGATTAATTCCTGAGTAATTCAACTATCTGTACACGCATTTAAGAATACATCTGATTTGAACGAGTGTTAAAATGCACCAAATAAGAAAAATCTGTTCGTTTTGACTTAAACAAAGCAAATTAATGGCCTGTTTAGAACTGCTTATGCTAAAAGCACTCTCTGGATTCTGGAATCCAATGGCGGAAAACTTCTAAACTGTTTACGGGCAATTCCAAGTGCTTTTTCATAAAGCTTGGATTTTTAGTAAAAGCTTCAATGTGTTTTTAATAAAAGCACGTCTAGTAAATACCTTTATGAACAGAATTGCTTCTTACAAAAGCACCCACATGACTCACTGTATGAAAAGAACCGAAACTTCAATCATAAATACAAAACCAAGAGAAACCCACCTGCCCAGTAATCCTATCAAGTTCCTTGATCAAATAAACCCTGCTCTCCGAATCCTGCCACAGCCTGCACACAATCCCCAGATCAAACAAAAAGGGTGGGAAAGAAACAAATTTTATCACATGGGTCCAATCCATTTTTCTGCAAAATCAAACGAGGTGCGAGAGAGAAGAGAAAGAGAACGAACCGGCCGGCGACGTAGATGGAGGCGAAGGTGGCGAACATGGAGACCATGAGCGTCGGGATCCGAGACCGGAAAACGGCGCCGGAGAGACGAGCACTGGATCCCCTGCTCTGCATCTTCTCTCCCATTGCTGGTTCTGAAATCCCAACCAATCCGTTTCGTAATCCGATAGAACCGTGGCGTGTGCAGATTGCCGAGCGAGCTCGGAGAAGACGATGGATTGTGGGGGGTGGACTATTACCAATACATTGTCCGGAAAGAAACAGATCTCGAATTTGACTGGAGTCGAGATTTTTAATGTCAGAATAATCAAGCAGACAGACAGATAGACTCGTGCTCTGTTTTTTGCTTTTCTTTTTTCGGCAATCGGCAGATTATTTCAGATAGAGACAGAGAATGGTGGGTGTGTTGCTTTCGCAGTGAGTTCAAAGGTTGGTGGTGGACCAGCGGTGGTGAAAGGACAACTTAAAAAGGTTATGACTTAATGTTTACGTTTCAATGTCTCTGCCTAAGGTCGGTGGTCCCACCTTTTCTAATTTCTTTGCCGTCTTCGTGTCCCACGTTTTCGTTGTTACTTAAGTTACCGTTTGGTACGTGGGACGGAACGAAACATATTGGGATAAGATGTTTCGTAACACGTTTAGTGCGCTTAAAACGGGTGGAACGAGCTGTTCCACGGGACGAGTTTTGGGTGAATTTTCATTCCATCTCACCCCCTGGAACGACTCGTTCCACATCCGTGGAACACAAAATTATAACATCTCCGTCTTCTTCTTCTTCCTCCTTGTTTCCATCCGAGGGCATCTTTGCTCCCGCTCCGTTCCGTTCTGTCCCGTCCCGTCCCGTCCTGTCCCATTCCGTTCCGTCCCGTCCTGTCTGCATACCAAACGATACCTAATATTGCTCTAACAATAATAAAGTATTATTGATATTTTAAAATTTTCATTTACTTTCTTTTCGAGTATTTTTTTTTTTTTTTTTAAATATAGAAAGTTAGGAGTGTAGAATGAGAATTTTGAAGTGTTAATAACAATTCGCTATATATATATATTTGATGTTTGTATTTGTAGGTAGGGTTTTTGGTTTTATTATCTGAGATAATGAGTTTGATATTAATTTAAGGGAATTGTTATTGGCACTCCAAAAATCTCATTCTATATTCCAAACTTTCTATATTTGGAAAGAAAAATACACTTATGAGGAGTTTACAATGAGATTTTTGGAATGTTAATAACATTACCCTAATTTAATATAACATATTAAGATGAGCACAAAGCCCAATATCCTATTTTCCTTTTTGTTTTTCTAAAAAAAAAATAAAAAGATTAGTTGGTAATTTCGTCACAACAGTCTACTTTTTAAGAGTCAAGAAAACTTACAAAGGCAGTCAACTTTCCGTGATCATAATCGTATGATTCATCAGCGTTAGAAATGAAACCCAAATCATCCCGTATAGAATACTATTATTTGACAAGATAAAATGGTAAAAGAACTGACCAAGGGGCAATGATCACTGATGTGGCCAGAGCCCAATATGCTAAAGCCTTACTTTGCTTGATGACTGATGTTGGGATGATTGATCTCCTGGGCTTCTAAAATGGACAAATATTGTCTGTTTTTCATTTTGGGTATCTTTTCGTGTCTTCTTGTTTTGTGTGGTTATAGTTAAACCATGTTAATATTTTATATTATTTTTTATAGAGATAATAAGACAAAAATAAATAGTAATATAAAATGTTAACGTGTCTTAACCGTGACCACATAAACAAAAAGGCACGGATGGACACCGAAAATGGAAAGGCAGACAATCTTTGTCCCTTCTAAATTCACAAAAGAAGCACTCATTTTTTGAGGTATGAGAACTAACCAAAGTTAGCAAAAACACGAATAATTTTTTCGTTCAAAATTTTAAAAGAATGTGTATTATTTGACTGTGATTAAGAATGAGCAAAATACTTTTAGCTTTTATGGGCCCCACTGATAATCCTACTCTTCGTACGTGAGATACCTCAAACTACGACAAAAGAAAAATAAAAGAATAATGAAATTGTTTTCTTTTCTTTGCCAACTATTCAATTGTTGAAGAACGTGACATCGAAAATGTGATAAACTAAAATACAACTTATATTGAGTAATTACATTATTAATTACTTAATTTTTTTAAATTAAATTTACACTCGTTGAATTATGCATGTAATTAAGTTGATCAATGTATTATGTTGCTTAGTAGTGGGTCTATATCAAATGTATGAATCATACCATATGATAAGTTTGATAACTAAGGCTAACCACTACTACTCATTGTCACTAATCATCCGTTCGTTAGATAATTGTCACGTAATGCTAGAGTCTAGAGATTTTTATATGTAACTTTTCTTTTCCTATTTTTTCGTTAACCAACTGATAAATTAGAGAAGGAGTTTCGAACTTAAGTGTAGAGATTGTAGCACATTGTTTAGGCAACTTGGATAACTCTAAGATAAGAGAAGGCTCGCTATTTGGGCAGCTTGTCAACCAATACTGGTCTCATCTCCAGTCTGCAGAATCGCATTGAATGTAGCAGTTTCATTGTTTCATATATCGCCATTTTAACACGGCTGGGTAGCAAACAGATGAAACATAGTGAAAAGGAGGATTGGTGTAAATTATAGCAACGATTGCTGGCCCGAAGAAGCGCGTTGGCGAGGATTGGGAGGTCAGGTTCAAGGTTGTGTGTATAATCTCTACCTTATTTTCTCGAAGGCAAAGTCAGCATCTTAGTGGAGATCAATAGTAGCACATCAGAGTTGCATAAGGTTGTAGGTATTCGTTACCAGCCACGCGATAAATGTAGTCTAAACACGGATCATGATTGATGAACTGCAATGTATGTATCAGGATTCAGAAACTGGAAATATTTATTTCTTGCACGAGAAGTTATTGTCGAACGTAAGAGAAGGACAAAACATTTCAAGATCAATAAAAGAGAAGTATATAGATTTGATTCGAAAATTGTTACATCATTCTGCAGGGGTACTGCACCTCCTCCCTATTACCGGCTCTAATTGAAAAATAATTATTCTGCATGCGAAAAATCGCGGCAACTTGCAACGAAAGGACCATGATTACTAATACTTTCGTCATCTGTTGAGCATGTCACAAAAACTAATTTGGATTAATTAAAACCTAATGCAATCTTCTTGTCTTCTAATTGACGGAAATCACACATTGCGTTTCTTTCATTTTGTATAACTTCAAAAAAGAATTTTCGGCTTCTGCATCACTCAATCGAATGCTGATTACAGAAACACCGATCAGGCTAGTTACGTACTGATAATATCTGTTAGTGTTTGATCAACTTTTGAGCTAGATTTCTCTATGTATTTGTAATCAATTCAAAAAGAAATTGAAATGAATTCAAAGCTTGAATGTCACATCCTGGCCCGGGTGGGACCACTTCCCGGGCCCGCTCCACCACCGTAGCACGATATTGTCCGCTTTGGGCTTACCATTCCCTCACGGTTTTGTTTTTGGGAACTCACGAGCAACTTCCCAGTGGGTCACCCATCATGGGATTGCTCTAACCCCCTTCTCGCTTAACTTCGGAGTTCCTACGGAACCCGAAGCCAGTGAGCTCCTAAAAGGCCTCATGCTAGGTAAGGATGGGAATATACATTTAAGGATCACTCCCCTGGGCGATGTGGGATGTCACAATCCACCCCCCTTAGGGGCCCGACGTCCTCGTCGGCACATTTCCGGCCAGGGATTGGCTCTGATACCAAATTGTCACATCCCGGCCCGGGTGGGACCACTTCCCGGGCCCGCTCCACCACCATAGCACGACATTGTCCGCTTTGGGCTTACCATTCCCTCACGGTTTTGTTTTTGGGAACTCACGAGCAACTTTCCAGTGGGTCACCTATCATGGGATTGCTCTAACCCCCTTCTCGCTTAACTTCGGAGTTCCTACGGAACCCGAAGCCAGTGAGCTCCCAAAAGGCCTCGTGCTAGGTAAGGATGAGAATATACATTTAAGGATCACTCCCCTGGGCGATGTGGGATGTCACATTGAATATCAGAGAATAACTTTCAAGAAGAGGAGTACATTGCTCCCTTCCAATCTACGTTGGATTTGATCCACCAAAGTCAGCTTACATGGAGGGTTTTATAGCCGTTGCATACCCTCACTCGCACACACTTGCAACGTGACTATGATCACGTGCACAACACATGTTTTTATTTAACTTCTAATAAACTAGACACGTGGCAGAATACACACCCTAAAGATGATATAATCCTGTCCGTTCATTACATTATTTGAACTATAGCTATTCTAACACTTGGCACCATTCGAACTCCATCTTCTTCCTTTCATTCTTCAGCTGCAATGCTTCTGTGATCCAGCTGCCATGCTTGTCCACCAACAATATCGTCTAAATTTGAGTTATTGAGTCAGATGTGCCAGTTGATGGAGACATAATATTAATATCCGGTGGTTGATGAAGATAATGTGTATTCATCATGCGAGTTTCGATAAGATAATTTGATCCGGCTCACTAAAATTAAAATATATACAGAATCCTTTTAATAATCTACTACTTGATCATGACTTAATGAAGAAAAAACAAAATTAAAACATTTCTTATAATCTTCTGATTGTTGGGTTGTGGCGGATTTATGCTTTAAGTTTGGAAATACGACGAGCAGTACACTACTAATCATGCTGATACTGTCTTCCAACTTGTATAATGACAGACATGGCAGCTGGATGTGTTTTTTTATTTTTTTTTTAATAAAAAATTGCAGATGAGAGCTCCGTTAAGGTACAACTAATTTTGGTTGTTGATAAATGATTATCAATTATTGAATTTGGAGTCCTTAAATGATATAAGATATAATTGGTGGATGCGATCTTTCCTCCATTTTTTTTATCTTAAATTTATTTTCTCAGTTTCTGGCCATACTATCCAGTATCCACTTGCTACCCTCAAGCCTCCAAAAATAATACTCTCTTGACAAAATTATTACATATTATATCCATGTCTGATCCTGCAAATCACACACATATATATAATATATTTGAAGGGCTTGAATAATGCGTGTGGATATATATATATAAACATATGGGTTACGATCATACATTTTCACACCCATTTTATATGTTCACTGCATAACTTTTTTCAATGATCCGAAGAGTATTTTTCAATCTATCGTTCATAGATCATCTTTGCAAAAAAATAAATAAATTAAAACTTATTAAAACATTCATTTACCGTGAGAAAATGGATGAATTCGGATGTGGATGATTTGTTATAGACATGATCTTTGAAGAAATACCTAAAAGATAGATGGTTCGGATTATTGATAAAACTACTGAATGAACCGATGTGTGTCAAAATGGACCGTGTATCAAAAAATAGGTGTCCTTGATCCCAATTCTCTAGGATGTGTGTAAAAATGTGTATAAAAAAAAAATATATATATATATATATATATATATATATGTATGTATGTATATAAATATAAACACCTCGACAGCTGCATGGCGACGCCCCGATCCTGCAGGAAGGATAAGCTTGCATGCATATGCTCGAGTTATTAACAAACAGAATCACCACTTCACGTCTGCAGTAAATCACCAGCAAAAAACTTTCCATTTCGTAGATACAGTGTATATGTCTTGGTCTTGCATTGTATAACATCAATTTGAATCTGAAGAGCACAAAAAAAAAAAAAAAAAAAAAAAAAAAAAAATGATGGAGGATTTATGGACTCTGTTCTGCGGGGAATCCGGCCGTTCAGACGCAGCCGGAAAGCCATGCAGTTCCAATATCGAGTCTCTAATCCGTTCTTCTTCATGCATCAATCACGCCTCGATAATTGGCTTCGACATTTTGCTTCTAGTGCTGCTCTTGATCAACATGTTTCACAAGTCCTCGTCAAAAACAGTTCACGTTCCACGACGATTCCAAGGCCTTTCGTGCTTGAAAATAGTCTCCGCCATTGTCAACGGCTGCCTTGGAACTGTGTACTTGTGCTTGGGAATCTGGATTCTCGAAGAGAGGCTGAGGAATGCACACACTGCATTGCCTTTGAATTGGTGGCTGCTTACTTTGTTTCCTGGATTCTCGAAGAGAGGCTGAGGAATGCAACATTTATCTTACTATTAAGAACTCTTGCAACTGTTGTTTTGGGGCTTGAGGCATCCAAGTCTTCGTTCTCCCAGCTACTAAACTCGCTTTTTCGTGCACCTATGTCTTTTTATGACTCGACATCTCTGGGAAGGATACTTAGTCGGGTAGGCATTTCTAAGAGAGTTTGGTCATGAGTTAGGAGGAATTCAAGGAACAAGTGTTTTTACATATTGTGTTTTTCTTATATAGGTTTCATCTGATCTTAGTATCGTCAATCTTGATATTCACTTCTGGCTAGTCTTTGCTTGCGGAGCTGCCGTAAATGCTTCTTCTAATCTTGTAGTACTGGCTGCTGGCATTTCGCCTACAGGTAACGATGCAGAAACTACATACCTTCAACTAGTGATACTTCTTTCTATTACGAATATACAAACAGCCTGAAACAGAAACTGAGAGCGTAGAAATTTTCTTTCAGAAATACTACTTTTCCACTGCGCAAGAGTTGATGCGGATCAATGGTACAACTAAGTCCTTTGTAGCAAACCACCTAGCCAAGTCTGCCTCTGGAGGGATTACAATAAGAGCTTTCAACGAAGAAGAGCGGTTCTTGGCGAAGAATTTTGACCTCATTGACACAAATGCAAGTCCTTTTTTCCATAGTTTTGCAGCGAACGAATGGTTTATCCAACGGTCAGAAATAATCAGTGTGCAGCAGTACTTGCTTCAGCAGCACTGTGCATGAGTTTGCTTCCTTCCGGAACTTTTAGCTCGGGTAAGCTTTTCTACATTTCCGGTAAGTCCTTAGCTAACAGGAAAAAAGCCCGAGTCTTATACCAATTACCGTGTCACTGCAGGATTCATCGGAATGGCACTTTCTTATGGTCTTTCATTAAACATTTCCTTAATGTATGCAATTCAGAACCAGTGCACTATTGCAAATTACATCATTTCCGTTGAAAAACTAAATCAATATACGCATATACCAAGTGAAGTCACTGAGATAGTAGAAGGAAACCGTCCCCCACCAATTGGCCAGACGCAGGGAAGGTGGAGATACGAAATTTGCAGGTAAATATTGCTTCCTGTAGTGTCAAAACTAACGAAGGTTGAAGTTTAAGAAGGTTGCTGATAGTTTTGATGTCAAACAGATCAGATACAGGGCTGATACACTGCTTGTTCTACGCAGGATCAGTTGCATTTTCGAAGGAGGACAGAAGGTTGGTATAGTTGGTCGCACAGGCAGTGGGAAGTCTACTCTCATAGGTGCTCTGTTTCGTCTGGTGGAACCAGCCGGAGGGAAGATTATTGTTGATGGCATTGACATCTCAACAATCGGACTTCATGATCTCAGGTCACGTTTCGGAATAATACCTCAAGATCCTACTCTTTTCAATGGGACTGTGAGATTCAACTTGGATCCCTTATCTCAGCACTCAGACCAGGAAATATGGGAGGTACTGCTCGTTCTATGATGCATTCCTTTTAGGTTGATTATTTCGGCATGGTTGCAAATTTGGACTAGGCAAAGTGTTATCTGTACATGTTGAAGGTTCTTTGGAAGTGTCAGCTTCGAGAGGCTGTTCAGGAGAAAGAAGGCAGCTTAGACTCGTTAGGTAAGGTTTTTGTATATCAGTTTGAGGTGTTGGCTTTTGCCTGTGAATTCTTATCAGCAGTATTAACTGATGACCTGGTTTTTCAGTTGCGGAGGTTGGATCAAACTGGAGCATGGGACAAAGACAACTGTGTCTGTTTGGGACGTGCCCTTTTGAGGAGAAGTCGGGTACTGGTGCTTGACGAAGCAACAGATTCTTCAGAGAACTATCCGAACTGAATTTGCAGATTGTACAGTAATTACAGTCGCTCACAGAATACCTACTGTCATGGATTGCACGATGGTTCTTTGCCATCAGTGATGGTCAGTTTCACCGATTTAATCTGCATCAGATGAAATCCAATATTCTTCTCATTCGAGAGAGTACATTCGAGTTTTGGTGAAATTTTTTATCTGTTTTCGGGACAAATTGTGGAGTATGATGAACCGATGAAGTTAATGAAAAGAGAAGGCTCATTATTTGGGCAGCTTGTCAAGGAATACTGGTCTCATCTCCAGTCTGCAGAGTCGCATTGAATGTAGCGATTTTCATCGCTTCACATCGTCGTTTTGCCATGGCTGGATGGAAAAGAGACGAAACATGGCGAAAAGCTCAAGGAAGTGCAAAAGGCCGGGGAGGAAGACGAAGGTTGGGAGATCAAGTTCTCGGTTGTGTGATAGCTGATTCTGACCTTGTACACAATAAAATGCTAGCACTTTCATAACCAGCCAAGGCAATAATGTAATCTACATAACACATTCAAAGAAAAATAAAATCCAAGAATAACCATAGAGAAGTATACATTCGATTTTATCACGAAAAGAAGTATACATTCGATCTGAAATCGTCTAAAGCATTTGCAAGAATCACCACCTCCCTATAGTACCAGCTCTAACCTGAAAATAACGATTCCGATCACAGAGGCTCTTGTGACGTACCTAAAGTTACAAATAACACAGCCTATTATTTGCTTCAAAGTCCTGGTGTAGATAGGCTGATAATTACTTTGGTAACCCTCGGAAGTAACCTATCCACAGAAGTCCATCAACCAATTAAGTATTCGGTGCCTTTGGGGAGGTCAATAAATCCAGAAGAGCAAACTACATGCTCCTTATGACCCTCCAAGCACTGCATTCTCAATGTCCTCTCTGCTCAGTGCATAACTAAATCTCCTCTCCACATCCTTTTCAAGGTTTCCTGGTCCGGTCTTTAGATACCTACATCACCAGTGCAATATTTAGCAGCGGTAACATTTGACATAGCAAAAAGGTTCAGAATAAAACAATTTCAAGCGATGATCTAGAGCATCACGAAAAAACGGAGACAGACAGTCATGTGAATAGGAAAAGCTAAAGGTGATGCATGGTAATATGAACACTTTCAAGTATTCAGCCGTTCATCTACCCCGTTTTCACCTCCATCTTTTCCCACAACCTTAAGCTTCCCACTTTCATCCACCACAAACATTTCCCATCGTCTATAACTAGCTCATGTCATCAAGCGGCCAATCTCATTCATGAAATTTTGAATGCGATAAGGGGACATACCTGCATAACGAAGAGGGCCAATCCTAAAGAAGCAAACTCTTATATCGTTCCTTTTCTACCACACATTGACTCTTTTCCCATTTTTCTGTGAATAGATACTAGTTCCGCGACTGCCAGTAGCACCCACGATCATGACCTCCAATTCGAGCAGCCAACAGGGTCAAGTTATCAAAGTAAATCACTCACTCACAGAAACTGGAAGCTACGAGTGGACCAAAGACATGAAAGCCTCAAAGAGGCCCTAACAAAACTCTGCTTTCATCGGTGTTCAGGTGCAATGCTTCTACTTTAATTACCCTTTTGTTCTAATTAATGGTGGATTAATTAGCAAAAAACATACCGCAAATTCTAATACTTAACTTACAATCTCATTGAATTCACAATCTTTTTCCTATAAAAGTAACCCTAAACCCCGAACTAAACCACCAAATCGATCCATCATCCAAAAATTCCACATATACATATACACATACATATATAACACGAAATAGCAGAAACCCAGATGAGAAAACAGAAAACCCACCTCACATACAAATCGGTGACGTCGAGGGAGAGCTGCGCGTGCCACTCGGGCTTCTCTACCAGCCAATCCGCCCGGTCCTCTTTGCTCTGGTAAAACCCCAAGTTCCTCAGCCAGGCCTCGATGCAGGGGAGGCTGTGGGCGTACAGTGGCTTCTTCTTGTCCGGCAGCTTCTTCAGCCACTCATCCTCGGGCGCCGACGACAGCTCCTCTTCTTCCTCCGCCTCGGAGGGCTTGGAAAACACCGGGACCGAGAGCTTTCTGGAAGAGTGAGTGAGGGGATACGGTGGGAATTTGGGTGAAATTGAAGGGTACGGAGTTGGATACTTTGGGAAACTTGAGGAAGAAATGGAGGAGAAGGTGATGAATTTGGAGAGAGGAATGGCGGACATGTTGGGACTCTGTTGTAATTTTACAATATTTCAGGGGTTAGATTTTAGAGAGAGAAAGTCTGGAGCTTTCGGGGTTGGAGAGAGAGAGAGAGAGAGAGTTTGGAACAGAGCAATACACAGAACTCGTTATCTTCTCCATGTTTGGAGTTGGGAGAGGATGGACAGAGCAGGGAAATAAAATGTACATCTTTTTTTTTTTTTTTCCTCAAAGGGATTCTCTCTCGAGTTTCGGATTCGAATGGTTGAAATTTAATCTAACAATTACAAACAGAAAACTTATTTAAAAGTGGCCTGGATTCGAACCAGGTGGATTAAGACTAGAAAAATAAATTAAAAAGAAAAAGTATAATTGAAATGGGCCAAGTGGCCCAAATCAGCCATGTGCTCTAGGCCGTTGGGCCTTATGGGCATTTTTTCATTTTTTAATGATGTGTATAGATCGAATTTGTCATTGGTAATTCAATCTAAAAAGTAGTTCGGCCTTTTAAACAATCATCTCCATTTTATTTCTTAGTCAATCTTCATCATTTATTTTCCAATCTTCTTAGCAATTCAAGACTATTGAAGAAAAAATAGTCCATATATACTGCGTAGTGTTCCGTCTAGTTTTTATTTTTATAAGTGAAAAATATTAAATTTGTATAGTTTTTTCGCTAAAGAGAAGCGCTCCCAATAGAAGCATGTTGAAATTAAAACATTTTCTTGCCCAAGCATCATTTGTGCAGTCGTGTTTCTCCTAGAAACGACATCATTTGCTAAAAAAAAATAAAACAATAAAATAAAAATCACATATATAAAAATCAGTATATTTTTTTCACTTGAAAAAGTACTTTAAATGTTTTTAATTTTAGTCTTATTTTTCCCCACTGATGTCAAAAGCTCTTTGTCCTCTAAAAGCGCTTTCAACAAATTCAGAAGCATACCAAGGTCCTTCAATCAGATTAAAAATATTTCCTTTACCGCCAAAATTTAGTTTCCCGCCCAAGCATCTACGGCACCGCTGTTTTCTCGTCGAACGACAGCGTTTGGGTTTACTGCCTTTATTCATCATTTGCAGCTCACTTCTTCTCTGCAGTTAAAGGACGTCTCTTTTTCCGCCTGCAAATGCGATGGCGTCTGATCGGAGTTCCGGCGACCCAATCGCCGACTACGGCAAAACGCAGCGCATCGTCCTCCTCCTAGACCTCAACCCACTTCTCCACCTCCAAAACCCAGCTCCATTTCTCACCGCCCTCCTTGCCGCCGTCAAAACCCTTGTCTCCTTCCCTCCTCTCTCCTCCTCTCTCTTCGCCTTCAGACCCTTCTTCTCCTCCCTCTCTCCGCTGCTCTCCTCCTCGAAGATCCCCACTTCCCTCTCCCTCTCATTCCACCTCCCAGGCCCATCTTTCAACTCCCTCTCCCTCTCCCTCAATTCCCTCCCCGCATTTCGCCCCGACCCGTTGTCGCCACCCCGAGCTTCTAACCTCGCCGCCTCCTTGCGCCAGCTCGTGCACGATTACTCCTGGGACCCCGTGGTCTGCGATCCGGTAACGGGTATGTTTTGGAATTGTGATTCGATTGCTGTGAGGTCCAATTTGGTTGTTCTGTTTTCGCCCCTTTGTGTACCTGCCAACTGTTTGACAGAATTCCTGAATGTGGGTGTGGGTGACGAGTCTTTGGAAAATGTGAATCCGTTTTCCGAGAGATTTCGGGGTTTCTTTGAGAATGTGAATGATGCATTTATGAGTAGGGATATTCATTGTAGTTGGGTTGATGTCAGGTATGAATTAGAATGTGTTGAGGGTGAGGTTGGGAACGATGAGGATAAGACGAGATTTGAGTTTTTCGAGAGGGGGGTTAGGAGTTTGGGATGGGGATTTTGTTCAACTGATTCGATTGTTCTTGGTTCTGCTCTTGTTCCTTTTGGTTTGATTTATCCAGAGATTGGGATTTCATCCAAGTTTTTCTGTTGTACTGATAGTCATAAGAAAGTCAATGCGCAGTTGAGTCTCGAGATATTAGATGTAAGTGGGAAGCCTTTGGAATGCAAGTTTTGTGATCTTCAATTGGTTGATTTTAAGATGTTGCCTAGAAATGCAGCTGATGATGCATTCTTTTCCCTAGAAATGATGAATTCACAAACAAAAGGTGGTAAACTGAAGGAATTGTTCTGGGGGAATTTTGGTAAAGGCGCGACAAAGTTTCAGGTTATGGCTTTGCAAAAGTATAACGAGTTTCCGAAATTCAGGGGGCACTTATCTGATCCTCTCCTTGTATGTGAAGGTTCGGAAAAACCTGGTAAAGATGGAAAAGAAAGTTCTGGCAATTATTACGCAGATAAGGTTCTAGAAATGCTAGCAGTGGACTTGGGTGAGAATGCAAAGAGAAAATCGGCACCCAGTTGGCAGATTCTGTTGAGTTTCTTACATAGGAATGGTCACGGAGCATTAGTGTCTCTTTCAAATGACAGTGGTGTATCATATACCGCAATCCTTAAGCCTTTCACAGTTTCTTCGGCTCTGCTGTTCATTGTGGATGAAGGATTTCAGCCTCAGACAAAAGTGCATGATATTGGTGCAGCAAAAGCAGACCAATTAAGTCCAAAGATGAAGAATGAGATTTGCAAACCGAATGCTGATTTGGACCAAACTGGGCCACCTAATAAGCATTCTACAGGCAAGGATGGAAGGAAGCGGAATATCAAAAGAAATTCACATTTGTTACAAGATCTCACATGGAGTGCTTTCTGCAAGGCTGCATTTGAACACTCAGAGCTAGGTTTGGAAGAGGTTTACTTTGCCAGGGAATGTTATAACTCAAAAAAGATGAGATTTCTGAAATGCTGGATGAAACAGATTAAAAAGTCTAGCGAGCGTGGCCTAATAGTGGAGAAAGAATCCCAGGCAGACGACCTCCATAAAAAAGAGATGGACAATAGGTTGGATAACTTGCACCAAGAAAGTGAACAGCCAATTTCTTCATCTCCTTCCATTGGAGAAAATTCTTTGACTGTGGCTTCTGGTATACAAGATGAAGCTGCTTTGGAATTTAGATCACAAACGTCGGAAGCTTTTTTCAGTAGTCTATTCAACAAGATCCAGCAAGGACTTGAATATGAAGCGGTAGACTTGGGGGCTTTGGCATATCGTCTTGTGAATTCATCTATATATTGGTTAACTAAAAAGCGGGAAACAGAAGCCCTGTCAGAGAGTCAAACTCCTCTTGTAAATTCTGGTGCTACTGATGATTTGGTTGCTGCTGAGGTGTTAAAACTTCTACTCAGAGATCCCAAGGATATCAATGCAAGGCAGAAAAGCTGCAGCCTCTCCGTTAAAGCATCTGATTCAGAATCTGAAGGACTTGCTTCGGCAAATATGGTTCGAGAGTATCCTTTTTCATTTATAACTTAACTACTATGATAATTTGTCTCTGGTTACATTCACACTTATCCTTCACCGAGTACTAGATATGAATTGCAGATATTTTTCCGGATGGAGATACTACAATCAGAGGTTGGTGCAAGTATTCCAGAGTCTATGAAACAGAAGTTTGTAAAACATATTTGCTCGTTTTTGGAGAAAATTCGGTGTCATCTGGAGGGAGGCTTCTTTGGTGACTGGAGTGTAGATGATTATGTTGAAAAGATCATAAAAAGCAGGTAATGAGTCTCTACAGGGTTGAAAACTCCTACCTCTGAAATCGTAATATTTACCTTCTATTGATGTTTATTGAGACATCACGGTCTTCTCTAAAAGGCTAGAGCACACTAAATTCAATCTATGATTCACATCTCAACATTTAGGCATGTCCGGTGCCACTGTTTTCCATTTTTGCTGTCGGATATTACTTCTCGTCTACCAAATGCTGTCCTATGTACTTTTGAATTATGCAAAATTTAAGGGAAGTCTTTATCTTTATTATTTTAGAGGAGTTTAGTGTCTTTCCATTTTAGTGTAAATATGCAGGATTTCCGCCAGTTATTCGCACATCGTACCCATGTTTTTCTGAGTGAGTTGGGAGTGCACATACAACTTTTGCAATAACATATTAATCTACAATATGATTCTTGAACATGGAGTTAAATGATCTGTCATTCGTTTTCCCTAAAGTACATTTGCCGGCACTCCATTTTTTTGTTAGATGAAGATTAAGCTGATAGACTAATCTTTGAACTCCCATACTTTCAGGTACCGTGAGACACTTGAGGACGTGGTTCACAAAATCTATAAGAAAATGGATTTGTTGCTGTTTGCTGACGAGGAAGAACTCCCTAATAGTTTACTCAACAGTGAGGACAGCGATCGATCCTGTAGCGAAAAACCAAAGAGAGATGAAGTGGATGAAAATTACAAAATCTGGGACTCATTGTCAGCAGAAGGTGAGTCCCTTGGTCTGCTGAAAACTGACAGTGGAAGACCAACAGCTGAAGAGGTTAAACAAAATGACGACCATGCTCGCAAGTTAGTTGAAGCTCAAGAGAGGAGAGAGAGAGCTCGAAGATTCGCTTCTTTCTCAAGAAGGATGCCCGATTTGCAGAGAGTTTGGGCCCCAAAACAGCTAAAACCATTGAAACCAAAGCCAAATCCGCTTCGAAAGCTGTTTAAAAGGAAGGATCATAGAGGTTCATGTGATGACAGGGTATGTGAAACCCCAATGACAGGAATCAAACGCTCGTGCTCGCAACGCAGCTGAGATGACGATGAAGATTGCCGAGAATACAGTAGCCAGCCATGTGGTTCTGTTTCGAAAGCATTGTTCCAGGATGATGACCAGTGAAATGGAGCTGCAATCGGACATGGAAAGCATATAATATACAGTCTTACCAAAGGCAGTTCAACTTAAACCATTTGATTTTTCAAGTGCAAGCTTTCTCTCTTTAATTGTATTATTAATTTTCTGTAAAACAGTTCTATTATTTTCTTAGCGGTATTCAACAACAAAAATTAATAAAAAACAAGTGTGATTTTTAATTTTTCAGAACTGTCAAAACCCGTTTCATTTTTCCCATTCAACATGCCAAAAAAACTGTCGTTGCTATCTGATCACGTCATTTATAGAGCGCTACTCACGTGAGACTATTTCGGTAGCAACGGAATTGGAAAAAGTACAGAAAGAGTTTTTTTCTTTATTTTTTTATTTTATTTTTTGGGGTAACAGAAGAGTTATTTTATTTTATATTAGCATTAGGTTGAAAGTT